TCCCTCCCTCCATCAAAAGAGTGCTTTCTCTGCATGCAAAGAAAAACAAAAGCTTTTCTACTATAAATTGTATAGTATCAAACAAAGCACTGTCAGACCAACACTACCTGCCAGGTCAAGGCCAGCATCCCGTGTGCCTGGCAAACAGACAGCCCTGTTCTAGAGAACTGCAGAGGCTCTTGCCACATTTCTCTGGGATTCTTCTCATTTATTGCACTAGCTCTGCCTCTGTGTGCACCCAGCTTCCCCAGCTTTCCTCATATCATTTGCTTTCCCAAGTAGGTATTCCACTATCAGGCTGACATAGATGTTGTGTGCTATGAATTAATAAAGTCGTCTTTTTTTTTTTTTAATACATCAGTGTCTTTGTGAGTTTTGTTAGCATGGGTCTGCATTCCTGAGTCCAGTCAGTGAGATCGAGTATTAGAGTCTGCAAAGCTCATCAAGGTAAACACTATCTTGTAGCCATCTGTTGGTATGGACTCTGTACTTCCCAGGTGTTGCCTGTCCCCATTGTCACACACCATGCTTCCTGTTCATTTCATAATGCACCAGAAAGAGTCTTCCCAGAAGAACGTGTTAAGAACTTAATAAGTGCACATTTTGCATAGAGAGTACTAAGTATTATTATCTTGATGACAGTAGACCCCTTTCTTTTAGGTGAGTATTATTTGTTTGGTTTTTGCAAATTCTACCCCTGCACAGTAAGTGGGACATGTGTTGTAGATGCCACATTCTGAGGCTCTCCAATACTCATTGCCAGTCCTGTCTTCACAGCCTCTTCTGGCTCTCATCCCATTGCAGCATTGATCCTGGCATTATACTCAAGTCACTTCCTAACCTGGGTCTCTCTTGCAGCAGTGAAACCTAAAGAAGATGGAAGACACAATGAGTTCGACCAGATTAAGGATAAGGATGCAAGTAGAGCAGGCAATGAACGAGGTTATAGAATTTTTTTCTTCCATTCTCATCTGTCTCTTTTTCCTCAAAACAGTCCCAGTAGTATTTGAAAGAGCTTCAAGTCCCATGCATATTATAGAAGAAAATAGAACACAGGTTCTCTGTAATATATTCAGCTTATCTGTCACGGCACTTAAACCAGATTTCAATAAATCTTTAATACATCAGTGTCTTACCAAGAAAGGTTGACAGTGTAGATAACAGGACAAAACCCTTACAACTATTAAGTGAATCTCAGATTTTTTTTTTTTAATTGGATATTGTGTAAACTTATTAAAGTGCACTACTAGTATGGAACTTAAACACCATTTCCCCCCCTTTCTTTCTTGTTCTTCTGCTGCCTCACAGCTCCAGCCATAATAAACAGTCACTAAATTTCGCAGGAATTTACCCAGAGCAATCCTGTTTATATACATATTAGATACACACACACACACACACACATTTGTATGCATAAATATATGATATTTTTAACAGTAGATGAAGGTTTTGCAAAAAAAAAACAACTTAGGATAAGTAAATATAGAATCTAGAAAAGATTTATTTTTTACAAACTAGGTTTTTAAAACTTGTTTTAACAATCTCACTTTTATTTATTTATATAATTAGAATCCTGCAGCAAATCTTGGATTTACTGAGCTTAACCCAGATTTGCATGAGCTTAAGACCCCATGAGCTTACTAGTGCATATGAATCCCAATGTGTTGCTACAGAACTTTTCTTGTGTACTAATAATGATATGGAGCTGAATTGCTTTGCAAATAATTTAGACCATTCCTGGTTATTAAGATGCTGATTAACCAGCTCATGAATTTTCTAGGCCCTTTGGCCAAATTTCCAATCCTGTGGCTTTCCTTTGGCCTTGGATGAAATTGATGCTAATGAGGAAGAGGGTCCTGTTTTCCTCATCTAACAGCTAGCAACGTGTACTTCACAAGGAGACGCCTTGGTGCAAGATCAATAGCTGCATAGTAGACTCTACTGTGATGGACACTGGGCTAAGGGCATCCAGACTCTTCAAACAAGCCTGTCACCTCTTCTGAGAGGAAAATCTCAGTACTGTGCTATCTTAGTGGATTAGTAACAGCTTCTTGTGACACAAACTTAGCATTTTCTAAAGCAAACGGAACATTATAGTGTATTATGTGCTGATAGGAGAAATTAAAAAGGTTTTACAAAAGAAAAAACCATAATCCCTTACTTCAATAAATGTTAATTAATAGGGAAAGGATGAATATGCTCACCGTTTATAGTACGTCGAACTCTCAAAATTCATGTATTTTTTAGAACTTATACTTTCCCATTTTAGCAAGGTATGTGCTGTGTTGTCCAAATTCCTGCAAGTAGGACAGTACTTAAACTGTACCATAAATAAAGACAGAGGAGTAAGGTGAGCCAGAGAAAGAGTCACCTGAGAGGTAACGAGTGTCTGATCCACTGTGATCCTCCCACCCCTCCCTGCATTGCCTTTTTCTTTGTCTCTTTCCTTCTGATGAAGGTCATGGTGTAGACAGGGCTAGACAAGGATTTTAGACTGTGGGATGGGTCTCTTCTGAAGTTGGGCAACCTGAGGACAAGCTGCAGGGCAATTTCAGAATTATGCTGTCTTTAGATCTGCATCCTTTGCATCCTTTGCCTTAAAGCCAGCCCTGTGTAAACTGGCTCCACGAGGACCTTGTATGGTGGCAGAGTAGGCAGAGGTTACTTTCTTTGTTGTCTTTCTAAGGTCCTTTTTCTGACATCTTTTTCTTCAATATCCTATAGACCTCTGACTCCTTAGATTCTTGTCCCTTTTCGGTAAAATTTTACCACAGAGGCTTGAAATCATTAAACAGATCCCTGTGTGTGTGTGTCTGTAGGTGTTACGTTTTATTTTAGTCAGTTTGTGATCCACTTGGGTCTAGTAGCAGTGATTTTCAAGTTTCTAGAGTATATAACTGATGGTGACATATCAACTCTGCATGACAGAGCAGACAGATGTCCCAGACCAAAGATCTTCAGGCATGAGAAATGGTTCTTTAAGCCGTAAATGCCCTTTGAGACTTCAGAGTGTCCATGTGGTGGGGAATCACTGTATGAAGAGAGAGGTTCCTGATGAGAGTGTGTTCCTATGTAAACAACGTTCTGGGGAGGAGTTTGAGAACCTCTGATACAGATGACAGTTGAAGCCAAGAAGTAGATGAGATTATCCAGGGAGCATACACAGAATGAGAAGAGAGCAGGGCATGAGGGTCAGACCTGGCAAAGCTGAAGAGAGAAAAAAAAAAAAACATTGGGTAAACAGGACAGTGTAAAGAAGATAAAGTTGCTCTGCGATGGTGAAGGCTTGTGGGTCAAGATGATGAGCTGAGCTTACCTGGTAAACTTCACAGGCTCACCCCCACCTCTACCACCCAGCCCCAGTTTCTGAGTTTTATAAATGACTTTAATAGGAAAAAGTTCCTATCACTGCTATCTAGGAAATGGCCTTGTGCAAATGCCTAGCTTCACAGAACTTGGTTCCAGTGAGAACCTGTCACCATGGAGCTCATCTCATGCTAAATGGAGAACTAGTGCCCAGCACTCACTGATACCCCCTCATCTTGCTTGAGCAAGCTGGTGACCTGGGTGAACTGCAGCACTATTGTGATAGGAAAGGGAGCATATCTTGAAGCTTCTGGAGCCTCTGGCAGTTACCCAAGTGCTAGAGAAGAGATGCCCCTACTCACAGCTCAACGCATACCCATGCAATGGCTCAGAGCTCTGGCTGCCTCTTGGCAAGGTCAGACCAGCTGCAGAAGGGACACTGCTAGCTGGCTGTGGGTCACAGTGCTATACCAGAAAGGAATATTCAAGCATGCTCACATTTTTTTTTTCTTTTGCCTGACCCCAAATGATTAAAAAGCCCACAGAATTTTGTCATAATGCTCTCAATTCTCAATATTGGATATGTGTAGAATCTAAGTGAGCAGATGTTACTGGTTTGGGTGAGGAGGTGGAAGTTCAATTAAACAGGGAATGAATTAGAGATTGTATTAGAGGTCAATCCAGAACTCCATGTATTCCAATTTCTCAATGAAAAATTGAGCACGAGAGAAGCGAAGTCCAACAACAGTAACAGTATTCAGAATGAAAACAAGTATGCAACAAGGAAATCATGACTCTTCATATCAGGGCTATGGGTGACCCCCCAAAAAATTTAAAACATATGATATGTGAATTGTATCTTAGTAAAGATGTTAATAATTATGAAAGAATCACTCAAATGTGTTCTAACAAAATTGTTCTGTTTCAAAGATAAAGAAATCATAAGCATTCATCTGTGCGAGGATGGGGTAGGGTAGAGTGAGGGAAGGAATGATTATCTAAAAGGAAAAAGAATGAATTTGTATCCAGTTACCTAATGCTACTACAGACTAAAAATAGCTGAATATCACCAGAAACATTAGAGGGGGAAAGGGTTATACTAGTATTTTACCTCAGTCAACTGAGGTATCTTTTCTTGAAAGGGCAACAAAAAGATCATCATTGACCTTAAAAGATGCACAGAATATCCCAATTATGTGTATTTCCCCTGGAAAAAAAATATGTATGTATATATGCAAAGGCATGTTGGAGCCAACCAAGTAATTAATCAGAATTTAAAAAGTCTTTTTTTTTTTTAAAGTGGCATAGAATGTACTATGAATAGCAGTTATTACCATTGTGGCAAGCAATAATGCTAATGACCAATGATTCCTCAAAAAAGAATGATATAGCAGTCCAGTAGTAGGGATCAGTAGTTACAAGGTGCTATTTCTCAGCAGCTGGGCAGGAAGATGAAAACAAGAGTGCAAGGAGACTCACAGAATACTTTTTGGTTATTGGCATCAATGAACTTAGGATAAAGAAAGTTTAAAGTTTAGTAGTAGCAGAGTAAAAATAGGATGAACTTCTCAAGGTACTCATCTTTGTTGGCTAAAGAGATAAGGGGAAAAACTTCTCAATATGTTGGGGGACTACTTATTCAGTGTGTCTAAGAGAGTGGGGAGAAAACTTTTTAATCAGTATTGTCAAGGGGTGGAAAAAGAGAAATTATTTGGAAGTATAATCCAGAATACAATTTAAAATTAAAACCAAGCATATTTATCACTGCACAGTGTCTACCATGTTCTCTCTCTTTTTAAAAATATTTATTTCTTAGTTTTAGGTAGACACAATATGTTTATTTTATTTTTATGTGGTGTTGAGGATCGAACCCAGTGCCCCGTGCACCAGGCAAGCCACATCCCTAGCCCACCAGGTTCTCTTAATTCTATCTGTTAAAAGATAGAATTCTAATTGTTTTTTAGTATGACCATAATATGATCTAGAGGCATATGTTTTAAAAGAATAGTAATAATTGAAAGATTGAAAATATATCTCAGCCAGGGTGTGATGGTGCACACCTGTAATCCTGGAGGCTTGGGAGGCTGAGGCAGGAGGATCACAAGTTCAAAGCCAGCCCCAGCAATTTAGCAGAGCCCTAAGCAACTTGGCAAGACCCTGTTTTGAAATAAGAACTGAGAAGGGCTGGGATGTGGCTCAGTGGTTAAGCAGTCCCTGGTACCAAAAACGAAAAAAGAAAATATATCTCAGACAACAGCAAATGGGAAAAGTTGGAGTGCTACTCTTACTATAGAATTTTAGGCAAAAGTATACCAGATTTCAAGTATTTAATACAGAATTTTTAGCTATAGTCAAATTACTATATTACAACCAAATTCTGTATTTTTTTTCATTTTCTTAAAAGTTAAGAATACATTATTCTTTTAAAACTACTTATTGGAAATCTTAATTAAATATTAGCAAATAAAATCTGGCAACATATTGAAAGAATCGCAAACATGATCAGTTAAGATTTGTCTGCTAACACAGTATTCCTTCATCACTAGAAAATCCCTGGTAATCACATTTAGAGATCTATAGGACACCCTTTTCAGTCATTAATTGCTGTGAGCCAAAGCATTGTTGCTCTGGGGGCT